GAGAGAGAGAGAGAGAGAGAGAGAGAGAGAGAGAGAGAGAGAGAGAGAGAGAGAGAGATGGATTACAGCCTGTGGATGCTGATCTACAGCTGGGAATGATTGCAGCTCTGACGTCGCACATTTACTAACAGATAATAACAACCGAGAATCATTATGAGAAAAAGGCGCTGCTTTGCATGGCTCGATCTATTTCTGTCTGCTGCGTTGTATGTGGTGTATGTCAGCGTCTTCTCTGCATGTGTGCGCAGCGTGTTCTCTGTATGCGTGTGAACCTGTCTTTCGTGTGTGTTCGTGAGCATATGATTATGGTCTGTATATGAATGAGAGAGTGAGTGTGCGTGTTCGTCTTGTGTGTGAGAGCAGATGACGGTGGGAGAGGGCGAGATCCCTGCCTCCATGCGATGCCACGTGTCTATGTTCGACCACAGACCCCAATGAGGGCCATAGAGGAAAAACGTGGGCCTGCAAGCATTTCATTGGTGATTGGTTCGTATTCTCCGAACAATAAATAAATAAACAAACAAACAAACAAATATAAACGCAATCTGCCAGGCGTTGCTCTTTTTTTTTTTCTTTTTTTTTTTCGAAGCCGTTGCTCATTTCGTACAGTTACCGTACATATGGCCAGCATCCACGTGTCTAGGAGAGAGGCAGCAATGACGGTTTAGAACATAGGGCCTCGCTCCACTACAGTAGCTCTCGAAATGTGCAAAACGAGAGCGAATCTTCCGCTAGAACCTGGAAAGGTACACCACCATGATTTCTTTTTTTTTCTCTCTTTTTAAATGCCACCATGAATTTTGTCTTTTGTGCATTTCGAGAGTAGTGGAGCCAGGCCCATAGATTTGGAGGAGAAGATTTGCATGGCACGTACTGTAAACCACCATCTTCCAGCGGAAAACGACGCACTCTCGTCAAGAGAACTTGTACTAGAGTTACGGTACATGCATGATGATGGGTGCGTCGTGTTGGGGGGAAGAGCACGGGAGGAGACGAGGAACGAGCCTGACTCGGAGGAAGGAAAAGAGTAGGGAAGGGAAGAAAAGGCAACGAAGAGAGCGGAAGGCCACGGTAATCGTCTTCTGCCGAACACAACGCACCCTCATTTTGGCTAAAACGGACCGGAAAGAGCGGAAGGCTTGTATACAGTCGTTATCAGGGTGCGCGCTGGTCGGGGGAAGACGGTGGGGGAACGAAACGAAAAGCGAAAGGCCAAAAAAAAAAAAAAAAAAAAAAAAAAAAAAAACGAAAGGCCAGGGGGACGAAGAGCAGAAGGCCAGGGGACAGAGGTAAGAGAGCAAGGACGAGAGGAGGAGGAAGAGGAGGAGGAGGAGGAGGGGGAGGAGGTGGTGGCAAGGAAGTGGGGGAAAGGAACGAAGAGGAGAAGGCTAGGGGGAAGAAAGGAGCGCAGCGGATGTGGTAAGCAGAGGAGGAGGAGGAGGAGGAGATGGGAAGCAAAGGAACCAGGAGAGCGATGAAACCACAACTCTGGAGGAGAGAGGAGAGAATGGGAGAAGGAGAACACGGAGGAGATGGCAAATCAGGAGAACGATACTACCGTCTTCACCGGAATAGATCGCCCGATCATTATGGCTGCATCTGGACTGAAAGTTGCCCCAAATACGGCTGTAATGACCGGGCGTTCTATTCGGGTGAAGACGGCAGGCTAGGAGGAGGAGACAAGAACAGGAGAAGGAACGGAGGAGAAGGAGGTGGAGTTTTGGACTCTACTGGCAGCTTGCTGGAAGAAACGCAGCAGGAGTATGTGACGAAGGAGGAAAGAGAGAGGTGCTAAAGGTGGAGGAGGAGGAGGAGGAGGAGGAGGGAGGGGGACAGGACGAAAGGCAGAAGAAGAGGGTCCGACGAGCACGGAGACGAGCGATTGATGACGATGAGCGCTGCTACTGCTCACGCCACTGGCCGACAACGAGGACACGTCAGAAGCATGCACCAACCGGCGGGTCTAGCTCAGTTGGCACCACTCAGTCCCACGTTGAAATATAGACCTGAGTTCGAATCCAGCTGCGATCAGATGACTGAAATTTTTGAATTCCTTGGGGCCACTCAGTCCCACGTTGATATCTCAATATCAAGGCCATGGCCATCTTTCCAAAAAAGGAAAAAAAAAAAAAAAAAAAAAAAGGAGCCAAGCACAACCGCCGATTTCGCGCCCTCCATGCAACTGAAGCAGAAGAAAAAAGTATTGGGGGGTAGATGACCGCCACTGAAGTTCGCGCAGGTTTAGAGGTAAAGGCGCCCACTTGGACCTTCAAGCTCGATCGTCGAATGACGTAATTAGCTTAGGAAGGAGGTAATCAACACTCTCATGAAATGAGCGATGGAGGAAGAGGTAGCGTAGATTCGTGGCAATCAGGAGGACGTTGGCTGTAGATCGTCTCGTTAGATTTGAAGGAGACCGCACGAATGACGAAACGACAGCCACAACTACCTAAACAAGGAAACCACCTCCTCCTCCTGCACCTCTCAAACTCTCCGCCTCGCCCCCACTCTCCTTGTGTGTGTGTGTGTGTGTGTGTGCGCATGTGTGCGTGTGCATGTGTGCGTGTGCATGTGTGTGTGTGTGTGTGTGTGTGTGTGTGTGTGTGTG